AGCTACTCACGTTCGTCACCGTTCTCAAACGGTGGCGCCACTTTCTTCTCGGCCGTCGGCGTTTTAAATGGAATACGGACAACAATCCGTTGACCGTTTACAAAACGCAGGATACGGTCACTAGCACGATCGGTCGATGGATGTATTACATCGACCAGTTCGACTTTGACCCGTGCCACATTCCCGGTCCCGCCAATCGAGCTGCGGACGCCCTCTCACGACGGCCCGACTTTTGTGCCATTGTGACCACGGCATTCGACCTCGAGGACGATTTGCAGCCGCATTTCGTCAAAGGCTACAAGTCCTATCCGACTTATGCCCCGCTTTATGAGGAGCGTTCATCGGATCACCCGCCGGCTAGCCACTATCGGATATCCAACGGGTTCCTTCTCCTTCACACGAGAGGAAAGGACTTGTTAGTTGTGCCCCAAGATCGCATCCTACGGACTCGTCTTCTCGGCGAATTCCACGACGCACGACTTTCGGCACACCTTGGCGTGAACCGCACATTAGCTCGCCTCCGCCAGCGTTTTCACTGGCCCGACGTCCTCCATGACGTCACGAGGTACAATGAGTCATGTGCAGTTTGCCACCGCAACAAGGGTCGATCTCGAGTCCCCTTCGGCGAACTGAAGCCATTGCCGATTCCTCGGGCACCGCGCCTCTCCATTGCTATGGACGTGACAGGCTCGTTCCCCCGCGATCGCCACGGCCATGACGGTATTCTCACGGTCGTCGACCGTTTGAGCAAGTATGCTCGTTTTCTTCCTTGCAAGTATCATGTTGCAGCGCCCGAGCTCACACGACTCTTGCACATCGGTTGGATTACCAACCAAGGTCTTCTGGAAGACATAGTGACCGACCGAGATACTCGTTTCATGTAAGCCTTTTGGACTTCCCTCATGGCTGAGTCCGGTACGACAATGAAACCGAGCTCGGCTCAGCACCCGCAGACGGATGGTCAGACGGAGCGAGCGCACCAGACCGCTCAGATGATGTTGCGTATGCTCATTCGTCCCGACCAGAAAGATTGGGTTGACCGGCTTCCCGACATCGAGTTCGCCTATAACACTTCGGTGCACCCGGCGATCTGCGTCACACCATTCGAGCTACATCATGGTGGAGAGAAAGAACGGATCTTTGCTGATCTCCTTTTGCCACAGGCTGCCGACATAGACGTCCCTTGCTCTCCCGCTTCCGTTCGGAAGTACCGGGACTTGTTGATCAAAGCCCGCGCAAATATGCAAAAGGCTCAGATCCGCATGCAGCAGCAGGCTAACCGACGTCGACTTCCATGYCCTTTCCGCGAGGGAGACCTTGTTTGGGTCCTCTCCGASGAATTTGCGCTCGAGCAKGATGTTTCGYGCAAACTCCTTCCGAAATGGTTCSGACCATGGGAAGTCACTTCTGMCGTTGGAGACGASCCCGCAGGTCCTTCCTTCGTGATCAACATTCCTCCGCRCCTTACAGTGCATCGGGTCTTCCACGCATCAAAGCTGGCCATCTACACGCCACCTTCAGATGACGARTTTCYCGAACGTCGATCACAGGATCCGCCCTCCATGGACGGACATCAGGAAGTGGACCGAGTCATCACGCACCGCAAGTATGGCAACAAGCCAATGCAGTACAAAGTCACATTCAAGCAATGTGCGYCTGACGACACTCGGTGGATCTCTAGTGCAGACTTGCAGACTTCTGCACCCCTTATCTTCGCCAACTATGAGAAGACACGACTTGCCAAGGCAGCAGCTCGTCCCACCCGACCCATCCCGGTATCGGACAGACACCTCCGCCCTCGCAAGTAGCTCGGTCTTTATGAGGGGGAGTGTGTTACATCTTCGACGCCACACGGGTCCTACCGGACCCGACATAGGGTAGAGGGACACAGTAGGGCCAAAGGCCCGACCTTGGGGTACTACAGGCCGTAAAGGCCTTACCTTGGACCAGACCCGACGGGCCGGCCCAAACGATGTTACCGTTTGGGCCTGGCGGCGCTCTTGAGGCTGCCGCCCACCGGTTGGGGCTGAACCGTCCATCTGGACGGTTGAGGGCACGGTCAGGCCTCGCAGCATAGAGGCCGACCTGTGCCCACCGGTACAAAGGTACCGGTCCAGCCTCAGTGAGGCTATTGACCCACCGGTATTCTACGCGGTGCGGTAAGGTCGGCGCCAGAGCGCCGTTTGAGCGTTATTCTTAGCGCAGGAGGAAGGACAGCAGCAGCACGAGCTAGCGCAGCGGCAGCAGCGAGCGAGGACAGCAGCAGCAGCACGGCGGCCATCGCCGCCTCAGCAGCAGCAGGGCAGGTACCAGGAGGCGAGGATCTCTTCCTCCCTCCACGGTCCCGTTCCCCTCCTCCTCACCTC